AACTGTGTGTGAACAAAAATGCAGTAAACTCTCTGTGAATTATGTTCATAGTTGACAGCAAATACAAGGCGGTTCAAACCACAGTGAAGGATGATGAAACTGCTGTATCACGTTGCATTTGCTGTAAGTAAAAAGCATGCTCACAGGCAGCTACTAGGTCTCAGCTGGTACCTAGTGGTTTCTGATTTATGAAGCTGAACTCTGGCCCTCATCTACAGCTCTGCTGGGATCAGACTCTACTGAAGAGATCTGCCAGCATAGCTGTACTAACAAAACAGCCCTTTGTAGACTCATCTTTTACTGAGGGAAAAATCTAGTACAGTTTACCAGATTTGTTGAGTGACATAAGCCAGACAAGCAAAAGGACTTTGAAACTCTGTATTTCTGGACTTTGGCTGCCAAAGAAATGTCACTCATATCTAATTAGTTTACCTGTGCCAGCAAGAGCTGATCCTGAGGAGCTGGCCTTGTTTCCCTTCGGCTGCTTATGATAACTGCTCAGCTTGAGATTGAATCTGTGAAAGGGAAATGGTAGAGATGGGGAAATTCAGAGCACACATTGCAGTACTGCCATCGACAGCCCTCCAGCATCCTCAGATATTGGCTGAGTGACTCGCAAGGGCTCTGCGGATTTCAAGGGCTTTTGTCTCATGATCCTTCTGGCCTATAACTGGAGTAACATGATAAGAAAATGGAGCTCAAGGTTTGGGTTTGTCTATGTTTGGGGGAAATACCCTTCATGTGCAAGGAATGCTGTGGTATAATGTGATTTTTTTTTTTTCTGTATATATGTGAGTTACAGATCAGTGCACTCAGTTGAATTTTTTTTAAGAAATGATTCTTGGGGTTATAGATCTGTGAGCCATTAAACATCACATAATTTACCGGGGACATCAGTGCTACATTCTGTCATTTCTAATTTCAACACTTTCTCTAGCACATATTATGGCTAATATTAAGCCTAAAACAAATACAAATTGTAGATCTTTCTCAGATTTACTATTGCTCTAATCCTGATTCCCTTTCCCTCATTACTATCTGAATCTCTGAATGATGCAGAATCCCTCAGACCTTGACACATCCGCAAAAGGAAGGAATCCCTAATGCCAATAATTCACCTGAAGCACATGATGGATTATAACGCAAAGTTGTCTGCCTCAGTGTAGCTCCAGACAAGTTCCTGTGAGCATGGAGCAGCATACCAAAGCCTGCTCAGAAATCGTTGTGATATTTTTGCCTTAGAGAGGTATGCTTTTACTCATACCTAGGTGACTTACAATTTTTTATATATATATATATTTTTTTTTTTTGTGAAGGTGAGCAAAGTTTGCATGATGCTCAAGGTAGAGGGGAGAGCTGCAGGAGCCCAAGGAGGCACCAGCTTCACAGCCTGAACTGTAGCATTCCCACTAAAAGCCCTGAAGGAGTTTTCTAACACTGCTGTTAAGCCCAGGTAAGGATATGGTGCTCCTCATGGCCTGCCTGCCATCATCTGTTTTTTCCATCTGAGGTTGACATTTGGCTCATGCTCCAGGGTCACTCTGATGGGATGCTGTTACCGTATCTACTGCTTGGAAGAAGCTTGGAAAAACTTGTTGTAAATTCAGTCTGTAGCTCCCTGTGTTGCAGGTGTGAATGAATCAGGCTCGTGGGAGCCTGATCAGGATCTGCCTTGAGCTCTGCTCATGCTGAATGTCAAGTAATTCCTACCATGGTGAATTATGCTTTATGTGTTTAAATTTCAAATATATCTAGTTATTTATGAGTAGCATGTGTTATACATATATTTAATAATTTCATGAACTATTATGGTACACTTATAATATGGCTTTTTTTTTTTATTGCTATCATTAACCTTCATAAGGAGTTTAAAGTTAGCTCACAGGCCGTGGCATTTGAAGTCTGGAAAACTCAGCACACATTTCCATGTGTTTTGCTTTTCCCTGTGCTAACAAATGCATTTGTGCTCTAACTTTGCTTTCAGACCAGAGAAAATGGAAATAGAAGCAGGAGAGCCCTTGTCAAGTAGGGACCCTCAGCAGTACCCTGTGGCAGGGAAATGTCTGACAGTTAGAAGTACAGCAGGCAGAGAGGGCTTGAATTACTTTCTTTCATTAATTATTGTTGTTGCGTAGTGTTTATCTGAAATATAACCAAACAGGATGAATTTGTGGGAGGGACTGCTGGGATCTCATGGGAAGAGCCCTTTTGTGATGCATCCTGTTCCTAGTGGGTCTGTGGGTCCGTGTGTGGTGGTTTTTTCTGCAAAGTCTGCCTGGTTGGTGCAAGGAGGAACACGTGGGAAACTGGGCTCATACAAAGAGGGGGAATACAACAATTTTGCAGAAAACAAAGTATTTCTGCCACAGACCTCCATATGTACATTTCCTACATAGCTCTAACAAGGCATAGAAATCGCAGACTAATCCCTCAAAGTATTTAATCCTCTGTTTTCATGTCTTGTCCTGCATTGGACTCCTTGAGTGGCAGTGGGAGACTGGCACAGGTTGAGTCAAAAACACTGCTTCCTTTTTTCAAAGGAAGATTTTGCCTGTGGCAACATGTAATAACAAGAGCAGACATAATCTCTACTAATACAAGGTATATGTAGGTAAATAAACAGAAGAACCTCCTCCTGTGCAGGGTAGATGGATGTGACACCTAGCAGCATTCAACCAGCTAAGTTTTTAATAACTTTGCCTATGTAGTATATCAATGGCAAGACTGTATTCAAGGGACTGCCTCCAGAGAGAAAAATCAAATTCAGTAACAGTTAGTGGACTTTCTTGTAACTTCACAGAATGGCTCTAATGTATTTAATTCTGAAACTTTTATCTTCCTTCTGGCATTAATCCATGGAAAAAAATGTTGGGGACTGGAATAATTCTATGTATTTTTGAAGGCAACCAGAAAATTGGCAGTCACTTTTTCAGGCTAACTTTGTAGTGGCCTCCTGAAGTAGGAGACTGCAAAAGACCCTGCTGAGTAGAGTCTTAGGCAGATAATCTTTATGATATCAAAGCAAAACCAAGCAAAATCAAAATAATTGTTCCACTCCTTTTATTTGGAAAAGGTTGGAACGAGGTCTATTTTAGTCAAGACAGAGCTGTGCAACGCAAGTCTGAGGGCTTGGGCTGGTGAAGTAAGTGGATTTGCACTAGGCTTAGGTAGGTGTCATTTGCTCTATCAGAAGTGTGCCATTTTAGCTAAATGAATCTGATTTGCTCTTGGGCAAATCTCACAGACGTGAAGCTGCTACCAAAGAGGCCTCACAGACGTGACGCTGCTACCAAAGAGGCCTCACAAGAAACTATCGAGATGTATAGCTATTGAAAGAATGAATAGAAGATCTTTGATTCTGGCAACGGAACAATAAAATATAGATAACTTGTATTTACTGTCAATATAGTGGAAGTTGCCTTCTACCACCTGCTGTCTTGGTTCACAAAGGCCATGAGGGCTGCATTCCTCTCATTTTGGACTCCAAGTTTTCTTTCCATTTATGTTTTAAATTAAGTGCTGCTCTGGATTTCAGGCAGCTGAAATGAAGGATTCCCTGTGCTGATTAAATAAAAATTCCTTTCATACTCATAAGGTGAAAGAGAAGGGCTGAGAAGCAGGACCTGCAAAGCCTGGACCTCGTGTCCTCTGAAGGGCTCACTCCGAGCTTCCCAGCTGAGCTCCGCAGTGCGGGGGGCTCTCTTGGTCCTTCCGTTTGATGTCCTCCTTCCTGTTTGTTAAGTGATCTCAAAGCAAAACACCCGGGTGACCAGTCAAGGAAAAGAAACAAAAACCTTTCTGAATTATAAACTGGGCCCAGCTGTGTAAGCGGGACCGCAAAGGCCAGGGCCACCAAGGTCACCTAGACCTTCCCAAGGGCTGGTGCCTCTTGTGCTCTCAGCTCTGCAGGTGCTCAGCCCTTGCAGGGTGAGCGCACTTCTCTTTTTCTGAATATTTGCCCTCTTCTGACAGTATCTCCAGCAAGGCAATCAGAACCACTAATGGAGGAGCATCGTCTCTTTTCATATCGTTAATTCCTGCAGGGCATAAAAGGGACAAGTGGAGGTAAAAGAAGCCTGGACTGGGAATGCTGTGTCCGCCTTCCTTACAAATATAATTTAAGCAGTCAAAGCAGAAGGACTTGCAGAACAGATTTCCCAAAGCACCTTTTGATATTAATGTTGGAAGATAAATGACCTGCAAGGATGTGACTTGACTACAGTGGCTGTGTGACTTGCTGTTGGGCAAGTTATAGCCATAATAAATTGCACAAAGAAGAGTGTGTCAGTGGTAACCTGTAAATGATGTGACAACAAAAAATTCCTCCTCGTGTTGCATGTTGCTTCTAGAATACAGATTGTCCAAGGTGTTGTTTTGAAAGTGTTTGCTTTGGCTGGGAGAAGATTAAAAAAATAGCAAGAGAAACTGCAAAGAAAAGAATCCATGAGCACTGTTAAAATCGATGTAAAAGAATACATAAAAATGGATCTTTGCAAACAATAGGTAGGTGAATAACAGTCCACTTCAACACTAAGGTAAAGATGATAATACCAGATTCATGTACCAAATGAAATATGTTATTGTCTGAGCTCTGAGAATATTGACAGAAGTGCTGTTCTTTTCAATAGACTAAATAGTACCGGGTGAAATGAAGAAAAGCACCTCAGTGCACTTGAACATTTTTAAAGAAAGAAATAGAGAAGATATTCAGAGAATTGATCTTTCCCAGCATAACTTCATGAAATGCAAGGTGTTGTGGAGGGTGAGGGGAGGGAAATTAATATAATTTTCAGCTACTGTTCACTATCTCCTAAATAATTATTGTATATGGGTATTTTGCAAATATAGACTCACTTCCAGGGTTTATTAGTGATTTATGCAGTGACTTTTATAAAGTTGCTTCCTCTTTCTTTGCTTCACCTTCTCATCTGTGATGGATTTTCTGGTGGAAAGCATTCTCTAAGAGATATTTTCTACATTATTTTATTTGCAGAAGGAGTTGTGAGCGGCAGGCATCAAGTATTCCCTTCATGGAAAGAAGCGTCCTTTGGTATGGCTGAACCTGCAGGAAGAGACGTCCAGCAGCCCTAAGGTAGGATACTGCATCAGCTCTATGCTGCTTTTCCATCTGCATAATTTGCAGTTATATGAGGATTTGAATCTATTTATGCTGCCCGTAGCGTGTAGCTTGTTGGGAAATCACCCTGGATTGAGGAATCCAGGAGAACCACACGGCTGTTTTTGAGGAGACAGGCATGCCAACAAACTAGGATGGGAATACAAATGCAAAGCATTTCAGGACAAACTCAGTTGTTCTGTGCTTCCCTCAGCCCCCAGCTCAGTTCTTGTCTTGGTACCTGGGCTTGAGCAGAGTGGACTTTTTTGATTTGTTTTGTTTTTGTTGGATTCTGTACCTGTCTGTATCCTCAGTGTTCACAAAACTTTCTCAGAATCCTCAAAAACACCACAGCTGTGAGGCTGTATGTTTGGGCTCTTCCTTGCCCTCCTTCCCTGCCTTATCTTTTATTTAAAATTGCTAAACTGATTCCTGGATATCCAAGTGAGAGGAAAGCTTTCAGTTCTAATATTCTAGATCTTATTAAATTCCAAAGCTCAATCTGCACAACACCTAAACTGGGACTAAAACTGAAATGAAGGCGATCAATCACTCAAGTTAGCTAAGCAGCCCATGCTGACACGCTCCCTGAAGTCTTATCACGTTCATATTAATGGACGAATTTGCCTCTTGTATTACATTCCATACATTACACTGTGTAATTAGAAGCTTATTGGAAGCAGGAGGCAAACTTCCAGTATTTGTGATGTTCAGAAATCACTCAGGACCCAGGTATTCATAAAAGAGCCTCTTTCTCTCAGAGACATTCTTCTGCTTGTTTCTACATACAAAATGTGCTTCTATCTCCACTAGACTTTTATATTCTGGGAAGCTGAGTTGTTTGCAGCTCAATCCTTAAGGACTACATTTGTAGTTGATTTAAAATAAATCTTCAAAGATGATGAATCTAACTGTAAAGGTGGTTAATTTTTTTCCTGGGCCATTCTGAACCTGCGAAATTGCCAATGTATAGTTATGCTACCTGTCCTGATAAGGAAGCTTATGATGAGGCTAGGAGATGCTGTTAGCAAGAAACAGCATGAAACAAGACTCAGAGCTTGTCCAAGCCAAGGCTGACTTGGGTGCCTTGTATGAAGGTATTAGCTATAGGCCTAGTTCACAGGTAGCACAGAAATCTTCAAGTTTGCAGAAGCTGAACACAATGCTTTGAAAAATTAAGAGTGGCCCAGGGAGAGTTTGCTTTTCATCTGATGCTCAAATTTTATTTCCTTGAAGAAGTAAGTGTTCAGAATAGTGGCTGATGGCAGAAGGTTGCCATGCATCCAAGCCTCCAGAAAGAAAGGGCAGAAAGTCCTTTTCTGATTTAACATTTCATCGTTAGATCCCATTGTTCTAATTGTTCCAATAAATATTGCTGATAAGGGCTGCATGGCTTGGGAGCCTGCTTTGACTGATGAGTAACTGTTAATCACCTGTGGTGGTCCTGCACTCCCCATGGTACTGTTTCCACTTCCTATTTGGAGCACTGAGGAAATGTATGGAGGAGAACAAAATACAATGTGCAAATAATGTCTTCTGACTGGATTTTTATTTCCTAAATATATTCCCAGATTAAAATACGTTAGACTCTTTGAACCTGCAGAACTTTTCATAGAAATGCACTGTCTGAATATTTATTGAAGCAATTGTTAACAGGTGAAAAATCAATCTACTGAATTTATCTTTCTTGTCCGCGAATAAGAAGTTCTTATCTTCAGCCTGGTTCTAATTAGATTTATAGCAGTGGAGAGAAAAATAGAAAAAAAAGAGTCCAGCATGTAAATCAACCTTCCTCTTCTGAAATTAAAACAAAATCCCAGAAGATATACACTTAAGTCTTCTTGACATAGTCAAAGACTTGTTCATTTTAGCCATTCAATTATATTGATTTGTTTAATACAGCTTAAACTTCGAAGGCAGTGAAAGTCTGACCTTCTGGTACTGGGTCTATAGTTTAAAAAGTCTGATTTCTTTCCTGACCTCTGACTTTTAATTTTCTCCCTTACGACCACTAAGAAAAGCTGTCAAAGTTTATTGGCCAGATTAGTTCATTTAAGCAGAAGTGAATATCTCACCCACACACTAAAGCTCTGGAGATTTTTTCTAATATAGTAGATGTCAACTATAACAAGCTCCTATTAATAATTAACTGAGATCCTGGTGGGACTGCCTGTAAAACTTCCTTTGCTTCTTGCCAAATGCCATCGCCGAGAAGTAGCCTAATTTAGTCTAGCTGATTGTGTCGCAGGCGAGTGCATCTCTTCTGTAGGATGTGGCCGCTCTCTCAGTGCTTTCTCTGCGGCACACCTTGAAAGCTATGAAGAAATGCCTCCAACAGCACAAATCTGTCATGCTCACCTTGACGTGGGGATGGCTCAGCCACTGGGGCAGCAGGGCAGGTGTGCCTGTGTGTACCTTCCTGCTAACAAAAGGTGTCTGACGGGATCACAGGGAATTCTGATCGTCTCTGAGCCCTTCTCAATGGCTAATGGCATGAGCAACCACGCAAGTGTTTTTTGCCACCTTTTCTTCAGTTCAATGGCCAATGTTCACATTTGTGGTGAGATACAGTGATAGCAGAAGGTCTAGCTGCAACCATGAGCCTGGAAGCAAAAGATCTTTGGTAATCTGGCTCCAGTGTAGAATTCAATGGATGTGGCAGCATATTTTATAAATAACCTCCTGTTCCTTGGCTGAAATCTGGCGCTTCAGATTCCTTCTAGGGTACTATTTATGGCTGTTGCCTAAACCTGTAGGCTACTCATGCTTGGGCAGATAGAGCTATTGTCAAGAACTAAGAAATTCCCGGTCTCAGACTTAGCTGGAGAGGTTTTATCGGCATAAACATGGCAAACTCTAACAGAGCAGAGCATTTGTCCCTGTCAGCCCCGTTAAAGAATAATAATGTGTCAGGTTGGTCAAGTAAATCGGCTGCTTAGAGTCAATGAGTAAAGGAGATTTTGATATGACTCACGTCTTACACTTGGTCTTAGTAACAGCTGTACTGCCAAGTCTGAGCTGTTCAAGAAAGTCCTAATTCTGTATTAAAAAAAGAGAAGTGTTTCATTCTCAGTTTAGCCAGTGGTTTGCCAGCCACTGTCTTGTTTTGCACAGAGATAATATTCTATTAAAAATAAGAAAAATAAAGATAGTTGTTGTTATTATTTGGCTTATTTGTTATATGTTACTAATGTGAAACAAGATTTATTTTTTTGTTTGGGCTGCAAAGGAGAAAGGTCATTTGTTTTGCCTGAAGGCTCAAGCCTTAGTCATCAGTGAAGTTACTCTGCTGGCTCCAACAGTGTTCCTTCCTGCTTTTTAAACTATCACTTCAATTGTATAGATTTAAGTTACTTGAAGTTCATGTCCTAACCCACACCTGGAGTTGCATGAGACTGTTTTAAAAAACAAAGCCTGGAGGATTCGAGTAGCGAGTCTCCTGGAAGAGAAGTGCATAGGACCTCTGAACCTCATTCCTAGAACTGCACAGGCTTTGCATTTTCATCTTACTGTGTTAGAAAAACACAGTGCCAGTATTTCTGGCAACCTCAGGAAAAGCTCCTATGTAACTGCAAGTCGAAAAATATCTGAAATTATGTGAAATGAGATTCTGCTTGGTCTGTAAATACTGGACCAGGTAGGACAGCTCAGTAACCTGAGGCTGAATAAAAAGAAAATAAAAACAAAACAAAAAAACAAATAAAAAGGCTGTTTTTCTAAGGTACCATTGAGAAAACCTGAAATATTCAGTCTTCAGGGGAGAGTGTCTACCAGACAAAACCCCTTTTGCCATTATTAGGCCAAAAACCTCTCCTTTATATGGTACCAAATGGGATCACATACAGAGCACAGAACCGGCATTTTTGTTCCAGTCGTGTTTGTTTTGGTGTTGTGTAAGTGATTTTAGAAATAATTTATTTCAAAATTTAAAGCTTTGCTGTGCAGCTGCATGATGGCCGGGCTCTGTCCCTGAGTTTGTGTTTCCTGTGTGAATGCCATATTTCAATGCAGCATTTGAATTTGGAGCGTTGCTGCGTTGTTACCTTGAGCAGAACTAAAGAGCCTTCTGCATGGCTCCTTTGTAATGTCTTTGCAGTTTCAGGCTCAATTAGAAATTATTTTTCAATTTTGGTAATCTTTACTCAAATTTTGTGTGAGGAAGAGAGTCTTAAAGTGAAGGTGCAGGCTTTGATGAACGTTGGGTTGCATTCTAGTCCTCACACTGACCTCCAAGGTGACCAAAGACCTACATTTTAGCCCGTAGATATTTTGATGCTTGATCAGCATGACAAATGAATCTGAATACGTTAGCAGTGAACAGTGGTCTGATCTGAAAAAGAACTAAGCACCATCAACTTGTCTTAATGTGAAGAAAGAAGCTACTCCAGAGATAAAATCCTAGAAATAGTTGCTGCCTCAAACAGAAGCCTATTTGTGGCTGACATTGTGTTGAAGACGGACAAGCCCTGCCGTCTCTCTTGTGATCTTAAGAAAAGAAACTCTGTTTTTATATTTTTATTTAAACCCCTTACTGCAGTAATCCCAAACCTGACGCAGTTCTGGGGCTGTGCAGTAGCACTGGACTTCATGTGTCCTGTAGACTTGGATTATGTTGTTGTAGGGCTCCACGAAATAAGTCTAACCCTACCTGCTATGGGCAGGATGCTGCTGCTGTTCTCTGTCTGGTTGAAGCTCAGATTCTGCAAACAAAATATTGCAGTTACCAACAGGACTTCTTGTCCAAACCTTCCTTTTCTTGTCTAATCGTTGGGCACTAACAGGATTATAGTGCAATACGATCTGTCCCCCTCAGAAATAGGGGAAGTCTATGTGTGTAATCTTTCTAATCTTTTCCA